GCAGATACAAAACGTCCAAGCATTTTCATTCTCGACTAATCGCCGGCTCTGCCATCGCGTACCACAGCCACCACGACCCCTCGGTTATTATTATATTATGTATTATTTACAGCTTAATAATGCGTATTTTCGTCGTGTCGAGATAATACCATAATACATACATTTAAATCATAATAATACATTATATAGTATATAGCGGATATAGCCATATTATAGGTACCTAGGTATATGCAGGGCCCCCACAAGGGGGGTGATGGACCTTGAGTACAGAGGCCCGGCTATTTCAAGGGCCCGAGGGCTCGTTGAAATTTATCTGTAATTTTTGAAATTTTGGTAGAAATACTTATTTTATATTAAATAATATTATAAAATAACATTTTATGAAATATATATATATACATATTTAGTCATTTTGATACTTCAAAATGCGGGTTAACCATTGGTTACCTAGGAATTATCGTAGTCACAGTTTGTATTTTCCTTATCACTCGTAAGCCAGATTAAATTATTATACTTACCTTTTATTTAAAAAAATTTTTTTTTTTAAATAAAATAGACATTATAAATGCTGAAATGCTTATAAATCTTGATTTTTTATAATTTTCTAGCAGACCCGACGTATAATTTAAAAAAAATATTACTCCAAAAATTGTTGTATATATAGTTGTTAAATTGTATATTTTTAAGTTGTACAAAGGGCCCGGACAAACATTAAGTACAGGGGCCCAGAATTGTATGGGGGGGGGGGCTGCCTATAAATTGTAATATAATGGAATTGTCTTATGATATATTATTATTAGATGATTATATATAGATACACCTATATTATAAAATGAATTAATAAAAGATATACCTACAAAATATCCGAAAACAAAATAACCTAACCTAACCTTTTTTTTTTAGAGAATTTTTGGTTAAAGTAAAAATGTATATTTAATTTTGATAGACACGCGTGTCAAGTATATTTTTAATCTATCATTGCGGTCGAGTGTGGTGAGGAGAATTAGAGAGTTTTTAATGAAAATGCTGTTGGTATAATGTAAATTATTATTATACGTCTTATGCTTAGGTACAACTATTATACAATACAACATACGGTAAACTATGTATAATATCCTCCGATCTTCGTAATATAATCATATATTAGATACAGCCCTTTCGTTCGACGACACGTGCATGTACACGAAGATGGACGCTAAGTTATCGCAATCTAGATTTTTCTTTTCATCTTCCGTCGTTCTACTTTTCAAACCTACGAAATTGGCAGGTATTATTATACATCTATTGATATAGGTATGTAATGTGCGTATGTGTAACGTACGCACTCACTCCCATTCGGGATTAACGTTAGGGTTTTAAATAATGTAACGGCAACCTTTTAGCGGACCGCCGCGGAGCGTGCGCCTTTTGAATACACCGACGGCGGACGGAGGGAGAAAAAAAGCCAGTGACGATGCCCGTCGGGAGTTGTAAAAAATATTACAAATCCCATTGTTACTCGTATTGTTGCTAATAGCTGGCAAACAAAATCCGCGTTTAGCCATCGCGGTGCTTAGATGCAGTACACACACACACACACACACACACACACACACACACACACACACACACACACACACACATATATATATATAAGTATATGTATACATATTGCATTATAATGTCCCGTCTCCGCGAAGAGACTGTGTATACTATATGTTATACATGGCGATTCTTTTAACAGCAAACTTCACTCATTAATGCGAACAGTGTTTTAGGTGGAAAATGTTGAGATCCGCAACATACAGCAATATTATAATAGATTTAATTATATTGTTATACATTATATATTTAGGCGAATGTATCTAATAATGATACTAATAATTTTAAATATTAAACAATATATTTTTAATAATAATAATAAGCATCTATAACTTACCTATACACGAGCGTAAGAGCACAGGTGCAACATCACATACTTTGCATGGGACTAACTACTATAGTAGTATAATACTAAGTATTATAACTATATTAACTATCTATTTTTGCCACATGTGGCATCTCCACATAGGTACTCCTTTTATCGGAACTTTTTGAATATTAATTATTAATAAATAATTTAACTATTCTTGAAAAAAATATGTTCTGCAAACTGTAGCGGATTGTAAATAAAAAATGCAGTTTGATACTAAAAAATCAAAAGTTGATGATGGAAATCACAAATAAACATATATAATATTATATAGGCGAAAAAATCGTACTAAAATAAAAGGATAAAATTGCATGGGTTTTAAATTTTTTCAAAAGAGACATTCTGGAAAAGTATTATCTTTGGGTGTAATTATTGTTAAAATAATCACGATGTACATATAACCTTATTTATCTTATTGATATATCCTTAAAAGTTACTATCCCCTGAAGACCTAAATATATCCAATAATATTAAGTATCCTTACAACACAAAAACTATTAATATTAAATTCTGATACGCTGACATTTTCAGAAAAAGAGGTGTTATCATTTGAAAAACAGAAATTGTTTATCCACAAGCACAACTCAGACCACACTCCTTAAGTGGTACAAAAAAATCTCAAGAATTTTATAATATTTAAAACGATTTAATTCCGAAAAATATTTAAAAATATAACAAATTTTGTAAACTAAATCCAATACATTTTTTTTAATAAATCCATTCGTGGGCTTAACAATTAGTATAGTAAAAAAACATTATTGCTATAAAATATAAAATTGTTTTAAATTATAATATGCTTTATATGAATTACAAATTAGTAATTACAATATAACTCAAATTTTAAAATTTAAATATCCCTAGCTATAAATTATAATATGAGCCCATATGGTTATATGATCCAAAGCTCGTCAAGTACACAAGTCAGTAATATTTTTAAACTGAATTAAGAACTAAATAACTCATAATTTATGAAGGTTATTTCATGCAATCATACTAATTAAAGCAAAAAAGTTATGTTTTAGTATAAATTAATATTTGCTACTACATCGTGTAAATCGTAAGTATAATGACTGAAGATATCATAAACATTTTATATATTATGGGTAAAAACTATAAATAATATATATAGATACAATACATACCCTACATAGTCTACTCAAATATTATACTGCTAAACTCTAAATTAAGACGAGAATAACTCAGGGGAATTAAAAACTATTTAAGATCTTTTAAGGTCTTTCGAAACAATAATATATATGAACGAGTACAACAAATACGAGAAACAAATACAATTTTAAATCTTATATTACCGTCCATGTAAAACAATACATTTTTAATTAATGGAAGAACAATATAAAAGACGGTATATGTGCTCCTACACAAAAATGAGATTAATGAAAGTTTAAATTTAATATTCATTGAATAATTAAAATAAATGGATGCGTTTATAATTTATTATATTTAAATATGTGCACCACGTAAAATATTTAGAGGATATATTTTTTTTCGTGCTTACCAATTTGGGTTTTTTTTAACCTGTCGCTTCCTAAATAAAAACGGTTAAACGTTTATATTATAAAATATTATAATCAGTGACAAAATAACATAATATTATGTTATAATGGCACGACTCATGTTTACCATGGCTGCAGGTGAAATTTAAGAGCTTTCAGGATGGTTTAGTATTACTAATTAGTACCTACCACATTCGTTGGTTCGTAATTTAATAAAATTTTGTGATATGTCTAATTGTCTTTATTGTCTATATTTAACCTTTAATACCCGTAATACATAAAACTATAATATATTATTTAAAAAGGGATGATACAATATCTGTTATGCCATATTTAATATAATTATCTATTGTTATAAAATCATCAGGAAATTAACTTTGTAGCTTAAAATGTACAGCTAATTTATATAAACGTTGAAAAAAATGTTGTATTAATGTTTGATGTTGATGTAGCCGTGTAGGTAGTACCTAATTAAATATATTTCTTAGGTATATTGAGTAAATATCTTACAACTACTAATTTGCAAGCACCTAACCTTATGTATTAAATATAACAATTTTTCAGTGATTTAATTTTCACTATTTTTCAAATTTCATGATCTTATAGTTTTCTAGTTTCCAGTTGGTTTAAAGGTATAACTTGTTAAGCTATATGTTCTTTTCTTATGTTATAACTATAACCAATTTAAAATTATAGCTACAGTTATCTACTATAGCTTTTATTCCGGTAGCGTAGTTTTAAACTACGAATATCAATCCATAAATACATCTATATATAGAGCTATATAATATTCAACTACAGTTAGATTATTATTTGTAAGAGCTCTATTCGCTTGTAATCTAATTAGTAATTTAAATCCGAAATTCTAGCTTTGGCTACGGACTAGGTGTGGTTATTGAAATCAAGTCATTTATTCCCAATTATATCCATTCCAATGCTGCTAGAAAATATTATAGTTTTTCTGCACACTGTAACTTCGAATATGACTGATTTAAAAAACCAGCTCACGGCTGATAACCTTTACCTTCGTACTTTTACCGCCACAATATATTAAATTTAACATAATATATATCTATAGGTATGTACTACGGTGCATCATCGTTAGTATAATAAATAATAAATGAGATGTTTTATGAATTACTTAATATTAAAAGTTTTTTTTTACGAATTATGCTCATAAAAATGGTAAATCTTTGCCATATCGTGATCTGCTGCTGCCTGCTGGTAAATGAATATAACTATGTATAGATATGCGTGTGCATAGCAAACTCGCGAAACATTAAGATTAATTGTGTTTTAGTAAATATAATTAAACGAAAAACAACAATCGTCGAGCTCGTTAATATTAATTAATCGACGAAAATCCGATGATACGGAAAAATAATAATAAAATAAACACGTGCACTATAATATACCCCACACTGCCACACTAATTATTATACTTTAGTGTTATAATATTTATTTGCATACCTACATGAATAATGATGATGATGTCACGAAATCGATAATAATCTCAACCGTCTGATGATCAGCAGGTGGTTCGCCGCTATTTTTGAGCACGTCTGACGTGTTCAACTACCATCACTCGACGCACATGCACATACAACCACCTCCTCATCCACCCCCGCACTCACCGCCACCTCCACCACTGGCACCGACGGTTACCATTAGCAAGGATCATCAGGATGGTAAGAACTAACAATGTTCTTTTATCAAGTCATATTGTATTGGATAAAAACTAATACACGCCGCTGCATATAATACATAATTTAATACATATAATACACACTTGATATAATACCAATATATAAATTATTCATTACCCAATAGTCTCCTAAATTACGACTGTTACGATTCTGATCAATTGAACAAATCGTTTCTGACGATTGTTGAATAAAACAATTTTAATTACTTGAGAGCTCTGTTGTATATAATATAAAAATATTTAGTATAAGTATAATATATAATATTATGATTTGATTTATGATTATTAACTACTATAATAGTACTAACTGTATAATATATCATAATTTAGCCACGTAGGAATTGTAAACTGAAGCAAACGTGAATCAAGTTTCATCGCTCATTATAGAATGGAGATCACATATAAGTGTTTGAGGATTTAACATTTAAAATAATATATTGTACAGTTTAAAATGTACCTATATCAAAATGTAGATATAGTATAGATGTATAAATGTGTAATTATGTAGCCTAACCTGCCTAACATAATATCTACATGTTATTTCAAAATATCTTGAGAGATGAAATTGATAGGGTTTACATCAAGTTCTTATTAAAGTTTCATCAATATTTTGTTTCACTTAAGTAGCTAAATAAATGACCTTGTAGAATATATTATGTAAAAATATTATACTTCATTGATATCGACCCCATGTAAATTAGTAGCAAAATAAGTTGGTCAGTAGTAAAATAATTTATTATTTAATAGAGTATTGAATGCGAATGTATAAATAATTTTATAATACTGAAAATTCTAAAATATTTTTCGTAACAGTTTTTTAATACAAACTACATTTTAGCATTTTAATCAAAAAATAAGTTTTAAAATTATTCATTTATTGACCACACATTTTCCTGTAGAATTCGCGGTGATCTATACATATAATATATGTACATGCACAATATACACAATACATTAAGGCGGCATAGTTGAATAGTCATAAATTAATATTATTATTAATTTTGCTTACAGGAGATGTCACAGAATTAAAGACAGCCGCATCTTTAGGCCACGATGGTAGTGGGGTAGGGTACACTGGAGTCTCCGTGCCGCCGCAACCCCAACGCAGAGGCGCCTTGCAGCTGTGGCAGTTTCTGGTCACGTTGCTGGACGACCCGAATAACGCTTCGTGTATCGTATGGACCGGAAGGGGCATGGAGTTTAAACTGGTCGAACCAGAAGAGGTAAGTACTATAAAATAATATTACGTATAAATGACAGTGGCATTTTATTAAAATGCACATTACTATATGATTTACACGTCAATAGTGTTTAAATCTGACCAAATAGTAATTTTATAAAAACTGGACGTCTTGAAGATCACGTTTTTAATTAATGCATACTGCAATTTAAAAATATATTATTCATTCGTTTTATTCATACCATTTGTTTGCACAATTTATCGATTTATGTACAATCGCAGGTGGCTAGACGATGGGGATTACAGAAAAACAGACCGGCAATGAATTACGACAAATTGAGCAGGTCGCTCAGGTATTATTACGAAAAAGGGATCATGCAAAAAGTGGCTGGTGAGTAAATATAAAAATTAACACGTTGAAGTGATTTTTCTCAAATTTAGAAAATAAAACGATGAGATTGTATAAACATAGTATACATTATACTTACGGAGAGATAATGATTGTGCATACAGTTTCCTTGATAATATTGTTTAAACAATATATCATTATAGCTGTTATGGGGAATTTTGAGATTTCGGGTAGGTATTCTATATACTGCTCGATTTAAGCACTATGAATAATTATTTAAACATTTTCTACATTAACTGGCATTTTGAAAGAATACCTGAGAAATTTATATTGAACCGCCAATTTATCGAGGGAAATGTGAAAAAATTTAAAAAATTAATATTCATATGGGTGTATAAGTGTATTATTGGTATTATTGCAAATAAATTATGTTATTGAGTTGTGCAAAATTGTATTTATTTATTATTTATCTATTTCCAATTTTAGCTTATTACTTATTAATATATAGGTGATGAATATTAGCGATATGGGATAGTGGTAACCCGTAATTGAATTACTATAATTTATCAAGGTAATGAAGTTATTGCGAATGCACTTTATAACAACTATCATATAACTCTATATTCTCCATTGATATGATTTTTGACACTTCGAAATTTCCAAAACATAAACCATAAACCATCGGTCTGTTACTTTTGTTCAGGTTAGCCACCTACTAAGTTATCTATAAATACCTTTATGTCTATAGACTATAACACAATACACATATAATAATAGTTATATAATATATTATCATATATACGACTAAAAATTCAGTACCTACCTATACTGCAGTATCCGCAGTTAAAGTTGCAAATATTATTATATATTTATTTATTATGCTAAAATGAGTAATGTCGTACTTGCCGTAAAATTAACCAATATACCTACTAGAAAACTAGCAACTATTACTTCATAACTAGAATAATATGAAGATAAGACTCGCGAATTTTAGATAAGCGGGGATCAGCCCCTCAAAAAAATACCAAATTACCCGAGTCACAAAAATGTTTATACAGACAATAACCACCTCCCCAAAGAATAATTGTCTAACTACACGCCTACGTAGCTGTACGCATATCCGCGTATCCAGAAGCTATTTTTGACCCCTTGACTACTGTTGCACCCGTGGTGTCAAATTCAGTTCTGACGGATTAACGAGGCACTACAATATATATTATACATATAATTTATTGTTTTCAAAATACATATATTCAAGCCACTGGGAGCTTTTCTGGAGATCCGTATCACTCAAAATCGAGATTGAGAGGAACAGCGAAAATAATACACAACTTCGGTAGGTAATCAAACTACAATAACAATATGAAGTCTGTGATGGAGAGCGTTTGCTGCAGAAAATAAATCTGCTAGAGACTCGGACAAATCACAAGTATATATAATATATATCATATATATCATATATACACTTATGTTCTGTATAGATATAATAAAGCGTACAATAGAGCCAATAAAAACGGCTAGTCTATTTAGAATTCGATGAAAATCGGAGAAAATCTGAAAAATAGCGTAGAATTAAGCTCTCCGCCCCCACCTAATAAAAGTTAGAATATTATAGCTTAAAAAAATATCGTGCTTACTGCTTGTTTATTATATGCGTGTATATTGTGTATAATAGATATAGCCAACCTCATCTTAAAATACATGGGCATGATGTATATATATTTTATATACTAATTTGTCACTTTAAAATTTCTTTAATTTCCTCATGCGTAGTCTGACATCGTCGATGGTGATTTCTGTACTGTGAACTCGGGGAACTTACAATTTACATCATCAATAATATAGTTCATTATATAACCGCCATCTTCAGACTTCCTCAATCACCAGACGGTCGGCGATATAGGTATAATATTATCTATGGACATTTATTTAGCGACAAATACAATACATAGCATCTACATATATTTTTATATTTATGGTTTTTACCCGAGGAATTTGCTTTTGGAAAGAAATCACTGTCGGAAATTAAAACAACAAATCAATTTACTAAAAATAATTGTATTTTACGGAATCCTGATGAAACCAAGGCGTCTGGGACGTTTTTATTTCATTTTATTTAGATTAAGTACATGCAAAAGAAATGTATTATATAATAACTACTACCAAACCGAGTATTTTTATACACGATCTCAGTGATACAAACTTATGAAGTTGGGGATGGTAATTGTTGGTTGGAACTTTTCCAATTGTCCAGTGGTTCTTGTTTTAAAATACATGAAGCACGTACCACGCTTATACGGGACAGGTAAGTTTCAATTTAAAAAAAAAAAACACCTCTATTAATCAGTTTGTTTTTTTTTTTTTTTTGTTAATGAATAATGAGCAAAATATCTTGATTGTAAAACGTCAAAACTAAATCGTTATAGAAATGTAATTTCTGTTGAGAATGTTTTTTTTTTTAGAATATCATTTCAATCAGGGCAGATAGGTAGGTAATAACTAATATCGTTGAGTATAATATGTTCCATAAATATATAACTCGATGGAAATAGCAGGTATGTAAGCAAACATATTTTTATTTATACCTCGGCATTCATTCTTAGCATAATAATATTATGTGGGACGTCAGTGTTTTACCTATACATCATTATACAATCTCATCGTTTCGTTTTCGGTATAGAAAATAAACCGTTTTCCAATAAATACAACGGAGTGATGTAGGTACACCGTACACACGTACTCGATCATAATAATAATAATAACAATAATAAAAATAATATTTCTATACAATATATGTGCGCGCGCCAACGTCAGTCGCCCGCGGCGTGTGTGTATACTGTTCGTCTGTTCGTTTGGACAAACACAATAATATAACATAATAATAATTATATATATATATAATATTATATTACCTATATTATGTTTCGCATAGGGGGGCGGGGGGCGAGGGGAGAGTACGTTTAACGTAATATATATATATATATATATATGTATACACACGCAGCAGAGAGAGGCGGCAAAAAGGCAGCGCGCACGCATTATATTATGTATACTCTCCAGCGTTTGTGCACACACCCGCGCTCACGGTGTTTGTGTTTGCTTGTGTAGTGACGGTTGCCTCTCTTTAATTGTTTGCCAGGCGAACGGTACGTTTACAAATTTGTTTGCGACCCCGAGGCGCTCTTCAACATGGCGGCCACGTACGATTACGCTGCAGTATCCGATACGTCCGGTGGGCACGTTGGCGTCACGAACTCGACCGCGGGACATCACCATCATCTGCACCACCACCATCACCACCATCATCACCAGCAGCTGGCCACCAGGTACGCCGCCGCCGCTGCCGCAGCCGCTGCTGCTGCTGCGGCCGCTGCCACCGCCGCGGCCAACATGCACACTGCAGACGGTGCAGCTCCGACGGGCTACGGTGGTCCGCCGCCCACCGTGGGATCTGACGTCAACGGTGGCGGCTCTTACGCTTGCACTTACGGCGGTGGCGGCGACGGGGGCGGTAAGTCCGTCACGATTGTTACCGCCACGACTTCAGCGTCCACGAACGCGACAACCACTCCCCCCACATCTTCGCCTTCATTGTCGTCGTCCACTTCGTCTTCATCGTCCTCGTCGTCCACGTCGTCGATGGCCGACGGCGGCGGCGTCAAGTCCGAAGCCGCCAGAGACTGTAAGTCGACGGTGGTGGCTGCTGGCAGACGCCATCACCATCACCAACTCCAAAGGCCAGAAATGGCGGTCGACCGTCACCAACACCAACACCATCTCCAACACCATCAACACCACCACAACCAACTCCACCAGCTGCAGCAGCAACAGCAACAGCAGCAACAGCAACAGCAGCAGCAGCAACAACAACAACAACAACAACAATTGCAACAGCAACATCAACGTCACGGAGAAGAAATGACAGTCGATCATCGCCATCACCAACATAATCATCCGGCGTTGGTAGTCGACACAGCCACCACCACCACTACCGGTGATGGAGCAGGTTACTGGTCCGCTGGAGTCTTCGTCCGATAATACCTACATAATATTAAAATTTATGAGTTAAGTAGATATAAACCATGTACATTAACTGTTTTATTATTGTTAGATCGTACCTCCGATGTCTCATGACGACTTATTTCGAGTGAGTTCTTCAATCGTTTAATGTTGTAAGTAAATAAGTAATCTAAAATCGACCAAATTATGTAATATGGGGAATGCGGATATAACAACGAGTTTATTTAGAACCTTTTTGGGGTAAAAGTCCGGATTTTGGACGCAGGTGATTGCACGGTCCTGGGGCCACCATCATGTTTCACACTTTAAAAATTAATTTCAAAAAATAAAATAAAAAATGTCCATATCACGAAACATTACTAAGTGATAAGTTCATAACAATGTGATAACGTTTTTGAATTCCTTAGTAAAAATGAGAGTTATGCGGAAACCCCGATCATTCAAGGTGTCATATTTTCTGAATCCCTGTTTTCTCGACTTTTCGTACCTAGTTAAACTATATGTATTAATAAAAAAAACGCTTCTCAAAACAGTATACTGTGTGGAAATGGCGGGAAATGAGCAATTTCAGTCGTGTGCGACGTTTGCCCAAGACTGAAATTTCATTCCCGCACAAATTACACGTGCCTCCTATTTTTGTCACTTCTCTGCGTTCATCGATCTCGGCAAAGGTAATGTAAGGATCTATGCAACAACCAGACTATTCCATGAAATCAATTTCACGGAAAAAAATTTTCCCGCGTCACGCAAAGGGGTTATAATATGATCAAAAGATGTAACCAAAAGTTTATGTCTTGCAAGGGCCGACATGGTATAGATTTGAATGTCTGAGATACGTCCAGCACTTTTGGGGATTTCCAGTTTAGTACCCGCTGGACGGAAAAAAGGTCGCTTTCCAACGATTCAACCGTCGTCTAAAACTAAACTTTCGGTGCAGGAGTGACAAAAAAAATATGTTATATTATAATATTGTCCAGCGAGAGAAAACACCGATTCTGTTCATTCTCACGCGACACCGCCATCAGTGCCATAGAGGCCAATTTCACTATGGCAGGGAATCGGCTGGAGATGTGCAAAATTGCAGAAACCCCGATATTTTGGTGTGTCTCGCTGGACAGAACAGAGTTTCTATCTTAATATTATAAATTATAATAGGTACCCACACCAAGTATAATCATTTGTTTGAATTTTTAAATATTTTAATCAACAGGATAAAATGTATTACCTCTAAGTACAGTATATTTCAACTTCGAATTTGAAAAAAATTGACTGCATTAAAAAATTTAAGTAGGGATTATATTAGGTTTTATTTTAATTTTCATATTATACTTTCCTATTTCTACTTAGTACAGTAGTTGAATTAATTATTTTCTATAAAGATAAAATAGTAATATTAGTAATTATCAACCATTAGGTTAGGTATATAATAATATGGGTACCTGTTTAAGTGTAAGCAATTAATCGTTACTAGTTAGTCGTTTATTTAACTGTAAACTTTATTAATCCTTGACTGAAAAATCTCAACATTTTATACTGTAACGAAATGTAAATTGCAGTTAGTTTACAGTCCACGTCTAGTCATAATAATTAGAACAAAAATGTTATGATTAAAGCCACACTACATTATAATGTAGAGATAAATATTAAATTGTATTCACTTTATATTGTAAGCCTATGCTGCCAGTGATGTACTGATGTCGGTAGCTAGTAAAAATATGTGGAAAATATTATGAAGATGGCACTTTATTCGAAAGTTCCGAATTCTTTAAATAGCCAATAATAGCCGACTTGTTCAATATTCATTTTGGTACAACGTGTACGTATAGTACCTATACTTAAGTTGAAATAATAGTTTAATGAATAATATAAATAATAACAATTGTCTCTCCTCCCACCCCCCATACAATAGTAACTACAATTACTATTATTATAACATTTTATAATGTTTGATCTCTTGCTAATCTGTTTTTAAAAAGTAAACGAACAAGTTGTTTACATTTTAATCGGATACTACACTAAAGTGCTGCTTGTCTGTATGTATAATTTTATATACCTACTATAATTTATTAGTCTATGGTCTAATAGAGTCAGAGAGTCTATATACCTACTCTACCTCTATAAACCACGCTCGTATAATATTAATATTATATAATTATATATTATCTGATTCAAATGACAAATAAATTATTATTATTTTATAATGATAGAATTTGATCATATTTCAATCACACTATGTCGGTGTATGGAGCATAAGTTACTATACCATAATATTATAGTATACAGTATTTCATATTTGGTGTGAGTGTGTGAAAAAATTGTTGATTATTACGAAATAACTCAATGTAATCCTTAACATTTTTGCCGCAGAAGATTTGAAAGCTGTTGTATATATTATATTATGTAATATTATAATTTATAAATTATCATATTATAGGTATATTTTATTATATGTAGATAACAGAATAAGACTTTAACTGAACAAATATGTTTTTAAGTGCAATTAACTATATATTATATATTGTTATTATTGTATAATGCTATAAATGTCTACTACCAATTTTCTAATATTTTATCTTAAGTCTTAACCTTGTAAAATAAAAATATAATAATAATAATTTTATTTTTTATTTTACCTACAACAGAAAGCTTATTATTTTATTAAATTTAAATTTATTTGTTTGAATAGTTAGATGGTCATGTACATTTTATGGTACCTCAAGGGATAATTTGAAAACTATTTTTACAATCTCCCTCCTCAGAATTTTAGATTGTTTAATTTACAGTTACATATAATAACCATACATTTAATTAAGGTAAAAAATATATTAAGAGGTGGGTAATTATAAAGACAAAAAAAACCAAACCGTGAAAAAAAGGCCAACATCCAGACAAAAAGTCTGCTTATCAAAGTACATATCAACATTGTAGTTACCTAAGTCGGCTCTTTCTTTAGTTAATAACTTGAATATACACAAATACATTTATGTGTAACAAATGTCTTTTAATTTTATTGCTTATGTCATCACTTGACAATCAGTTTCTGATTTTGTCTTTATGGCATGGTCAACAACTGAAATAAATTTCAACCACTCTGATTATTTTTCTTTGAAACTGGAACAATACAATTAAAAGAGTTTTGTAGCACATGCAACTTGTTGTGTATTAACTATTAAAGTTATTGACAAATAAAAGAGCAGACTAGGCCACAATGTAGATATTACTATTTACTATTAGCACTTTGATAAGAAAACTTTTTTTTGGGATATTCAGTCAGTAACAAAATTTCACACTTTGAAGTTCTCCCCTGTTGCAAAGGTCTATCTAATATTAAGGGCTCAATATTTTACAAAGTCAAAGCTACATAAGCCTAGGTTTTCATGTCCATCAAAGAGGAAGCAGAGAGATATGATGGTTAGAAAAACATGGTGGAGCTGTTCATGTGAAGATACAGATTACAATTTATTAAAATTTGTATAGGTAATGTGATTTGTTTCATTGTTTGTGGTTGTGCAGAAATGTGCAAAATAGATAACAGAGATTACGTTTAAAAATAAATATTATAATAGGAACATTAGTAGTCTGTACATTACTACATTACACATACAAATAAATCTCAGGAGTTGGATATATTTCATTTGTTTGATACGAATCCAGTGTTGGGAGGAAAGTTCCTTTATAAGGATACCTAATACCTATAACTATACCTTTGATATATTGTTACTCTACCAAACACCCATTCTTTAACAACATATTTTGTTTTAACTCATGTAATTAGGTATACTGAAAATTATAATGAAGTCAGAATTAGGTGTATGCATTAGTTGAAAAAAAGTATGTACGGTCAAGTACCCATAAAGTCAGCTTGTCCTTGATATTAAATTTAACATTTACGTAAAAATAAGTAGTATACTTTACTAAGGAAAAGATACATACATTATGATAACTGCAATTATTTTTATAAAATCATTGAGAATTTATTTTTTCACAAACATAATGATAAAAACGTAAAAGTAAAACATTTATCAATTTGTTTTTATTATACTCAATGTTTTTTTGAATCCCAATCAGAATTACTAAAACAGCTTCAATCAGAAAAAAAATATAATTACTCTAATAACATAATTATCTATATTTATGGATAGTTGAAGCATATTTTAACAAACTAATAATAAAAAAATTCTTATACAGATAAAAACTTAGATTAAATAGAAACTATTAAAAGTATTCATACATCAAATAATAATAATATTGTAATAACATTGTTTAAAACGTACTTGGTAATGTAAAACTTAAGAGAATAAAAATAAGATAAAACCATAACGGTACAAAATCACAAAAATATTAGTATATATTTTTTACCTCCCATTATTTTGGGAAGTAAAATAGTTTTTAAGTATTTTGTGTAATTAGCTTTTTTATACATTAGAAAGGCAAGAAACACAAATAAGGCACAAACATTTGAACATTTTAATAACTTTTAACATATTATAATAATTTTATAGAAATATAATTTAAAAATTTGATCTTATAGTCAAGTACTATTAATTTGGCCACATGAATTAGCCGACAATTTTTAATTTGTTCAACCGAATGGCACTGTTTGTACATTCAGTGCATGCTCAATTTTTCAGACTTTTGTTGCTTGTTAAATTCACATTTTGTACGTAAAATATCCAAATTATCTTAACTTTTGTTCATTTAATTAATTTTGATGGACTATACAAATTGTGATTTAAATAGTATAATAATTTAAATAATAATAATAACAAACAACTGAGTTTACTTATCGGTAAAATATGAATAAATAAAAAAAATATACATAAGACTTAACAAAAAAAAAAAAAATAAATTACTGTCAATCAGTCCATCAATTGAAAAAACAAATTTATGAACATCTTATAAATATGTATATTATAATATATAATTTTCGATGAGATAAAATTTTAGGTAAGCGTTTATGCTCATTTGAACCCGGTCAAATCACCTTTAAAATCTGACCGGATACTGTCGTTGTCACCGAAGCGCATCCACATTGTAGTGCCCACTACCATTTGACAACCTGTGATCTCCGCCATTAGACATTCTGTGATCACCGCCATTTGTCATTCTGTGGTCCCCTCCATTCGACATTCTATGATCACCGGCCACTGATGGCTTCTTGTACAATTCAAATGCGCTACCTCTTTGGTCACGATGTTGTGTTAAGTCCAGTGCATTTGGATCTCTATGGTGTTTGTAGTATATATGGTTACGATCCATTTGTTGAGAAGGCTGTTGTCCATTACCACCTCGTCGATCATAACCCCTATCTAAGCTACTGCCATGACCCGAATCAGCAGTATTCACATCTGTTGATTCTGATGAATACTTGCTAGGTGATGATGGCATCTAAATATTATATATAAGTTCAAAATTGAAATCTTAAAAATGTTCGACAATAAATGATTTATTGAAGACAACCATCATTAAAATTACTCACCCCATTAGACATATGTGATGAATATGTGCTATCTGCCATGCTGAATGATTTTGAGTGCTGGAAACCAGCTGGAGAGGGTTGATAATACTGCTGTTGTTGTTGCTGTTGCTGCTGTACTGGTGGTCGGTAGTTTTTAGGTTTTGGAGGTGGTACAGGTTTATAAGATTGTTGCTGTGGAGGTGATTTTGGCAATGGAAGGGGTTTACTAGTGGCATACTCAATCATACCTCCAGAAGTACCACCTGGAGGTCTACAAACAAACAAGGTACTATGTAAGTATACAACACTACACGTGATAAACACAACAAAAATAAATAAACTACAGAAAACTACAATAAAATGCTAGAAAATATGTATTTATATCAAAGCTACACAATATATCTTTTACAAGAATAAGCTATATCATTTATTGGATCAATAATATTCAAGCTTCTATAAAACTGTAGCGTTTTTAATTTTGAAATATTCCTATAAAATCAGAAATATAAATTGAAGACATTTTTTAAAAAAGTTAAAAAAAAATTGAATTTACTGACCTGTATTTTGGATAGTCTGATATTTTAGTGTCAACTGGTTGTTGAGTTGACCTAGTAAATCTATAAGGATCATGATGTCTACCTAGAGTGTTATTGCTGCCAGATTTAAGATCATCCTGTGAGTTTGAACACAAAGTTGTTGTAAGGTTTGCACTACCGTTGCAGCCTCCATTCATGCGTACGCCATAACTATCATATGATGATACACTGTCATAGCTATTGTGCATATCATACAACTGAAAGATAAATACGGATTTATTTTATATTAAACCATTATCAAGAATTTTTTTGTAACATACTTGTTTACTAGTGCTGGTATGGGTCCTCTGATGATGGGGAGTTGCATTTATGTAATTAGGTATATCTTCCATACCGTTTGGACTGAATAATCTATCTGTGGCTGATCTTTGACCATTAGCGCGATTTCCATGCAATGGTTTTGTGTTTCTATCAACGCGGGGCGGTAGATCGGGTGGTCCATTACCATTTACCATTAATGTTGTGTGAGTAGGAGGACCAGCCATGCGTAATGTTTGAGGAGGCTCATAACTCGCCTATTATAGTTAATTAATTTGTATTAGAATTAGGTAAACACAATAAATCAATTAACTTTTTTAAACTAAATGTGGAGATAAACAATAGTCTTCTTCAAATAAAAATGTATTTTATATGAGTTTTTTATTTTATACGTTTCTTTATTGTAAATTAATAACTAATTCATACCTGTTTAAACACTGAAGGTGAATATGGCGGAGGTGGATTATAATTAGGAATGGCAGAGTCATCCTGAGTTGTAATACTTGGATCACTTGAACTTTTTACCAGTCTTGAACCAATTGCAGAAGGACTGGCCGCTGCAGTAGAAGTTGGGGATGCTAATGTTGTGTTACTAGTCTCCATATCACTTTCGGGAGATGATGCATATGACAAACGTAAGGAAGTCATCGGGAATAACAAATCATCAGACAAGTTTTCTTCAGGCTGAACACATAATGCATGCCACAAACACAGAACAACATGTTAGTAACTCACAATACATAAATCAGTTAATTTACAAACACAAATTAAATACACGTTAATAAAGAACACTATATTATATATATAATTATATTATCAATTATCTATAAGTGAATATGAATTAAACAGAAAATAGGAATAGAAATATTTTTGTATTATTTATTACTTATTATCAAATCAAACATAAACGATATCTGAAGTAAACAATACATTATAAAATAAAAGTTAGTAAATAATACCTAGTATGATAATGTCAATTAGAAAATTATTTTTGTAGTTTAGGATGAAAGGAAAATAAAATTAAAAATAAACCGTTAATCATGCAATATAATATTATTTTATAAACAGCAAAAGTACATACAAGTAGTTAATAGGAACTTCATATGTAACCAAAAAAATCATTTGGTTTTCTATCATAATCAGTATCACTAGAAATAACATAAGGGTCACAAAATGGATATGACATAGGAAGTAAATAAAGATCCGATAGGAAGTCTATAGTCTATAAATAATAATATGTTTATGGTTTTAGAATACTGTTTTTTAAATGTTTGTATCATATGTATGGTAATAACAATACCTTGGTCTCGCTGACCCAAGTTGGAGAACTCTGGTGTTTATCGATTAGTTCTCGAAGTTTGCGATACCAAGCGTCTCCTCCATTTAGTGTAAGCGATGAAGTAAATACATGAGACCACACTTTTTCTAATTTTTGACATTGTTCCAATAGCTTTTTACTGCTCTTGTGTGCAGTTCTATAAAATATCAATGGTAAATAGTACTAATATACACATAATGATTTAATACTCATTACTTTGGTAACCCAGCACGTAGCTCTTTGATCACTTGTTTGTTATCGGCACGCAACATGATGACTATAGGATAAAATTGAGCATAGTTTAAACGGTCAACAGCATTTGGAGTAACATCTAACAAAGCGTGTTTCCCTCGGTCCATGATATCACGAATAGCACTTAACCGTATTATACCACTGATTTTCTTGCTTCCGTCAGTAGTGTTGTTTTCGAGTTCTATGAAACGAAATCAATATACTATTATTAAAAATAATGTCAACATGCAAGCATAATAAACAGGTAATACTTACGAGGAGATAAAAATTTGTCAGGGAAGTCTTTGGTAAGTTTTTCTCGGGCAATATCTGATATCGGTCCAAACAAAACGACTGGTCGCACGAACCCTGTGTGACTCAACACCACTTTTTCGTAAGCTGGGAACTTGCTTATACTATCCCCAAACACCACATCATCCCAATTTTCCTATGATAAAGTCAATAAATATTTCACATTTCTCTCAAAAAATATTGTTAATGATTTTGTTACCTTGCTCAATGATTTTGATCTGCGGTGATTGTGTTTTCGGCGTCTAAAGAAACCACCTTTACTTTCTGAAGCATTCATCTCTTTCTTAGTAGCATTAAACTGAGCTGTAGCTAGTTCTTCAGCTCTAGCCTTATTCGGTATTATACCTTTTTGGACTTCTTGATTGTTTCTCCCAATACGGAATACTTGCCAGGAACCAACTACACCATTGTGCAATGTGTCCATTACATGGAACACGTCACCTTTGCAGAAGCTCATTTCACCTTTGTTGGGTTGTTCATAGTCAAAATGAGTCCTACAGTGTGCACATATGGATATTAAAAACACTGTTAAATCTTTAATTTTAACGTTATTAATTACTTAATGTGGAACGAATCGCCCCGTTGATTGTTCATAATTTGTTCATATTGATCACGTCTGTGTTGAACGATTAGATGTATTTGATCTTGAAGGCTCAACAAGAATAGCACAGCTTCTTCGCGAGTTACTCCTTTCATATCCATATCATTCACTTTTAATATCTTGTCACCTGGTTGCAAACCTTGGGTGAATGCGGGACTTCCTGGCTGCACAGCAGTGACAAATATGCCAACTTCATTGCCACCCGTCAATCGAATACCAACGGACCCTTCTTTTTGGAATGTAATAAACCGAGGATCAGGTCTGTTGATAAAATTTGAAATTAATTTAATTGCTCATCAGTCATCACTGTTATGTATTAACTATTGATTCTATGTTTAACAACTTACTTTAAATGTTTTGATTTTTGAGGTAGAGTATCTTCATAAAACTGTCTAGTTGTACTGTAATAGTCTATAAAATAATTATGAAAAAAAATTTTAAGAAATAATTTTTTAATTTGTAATCAAAAACATATTCGAGAATTCAGTGTCCCAGTGCTTCCTCCCCCTTCACACAGTTTTCAATTTTTGAAGACTAATTTTATTAATTTCAAGCATTCAAGTGACTACACACATCATATTCCAATGCTTTGGTGGTGTATGATACTAAACATTTGCTTATTGCATATATATGCTGGTTGTGATATTAAAATATGTTAAGTAAGCATATAATTGTTTTATACTTAAAGACACATTTTTTTAAAAAAAATCGAAAATGTCAAATGTCTATAACTAGCTCAAAAAAGAGAAGATATTTAAAAAATAATGATATTGACATTTGGTGAAAATGTCAAATATCTATAGTTAGGTATTTGTTTTTGAATTATAATAAAATAAGAACATTTTTTAAGTCTAAATATACTATTTAGTCACCTATTGTCAATCTTAAACTTAATCATGAACATTATTTATTTATTTGTAATCTCACTTTATTTTTTGCGGTTTTTTTTTTTATAATTGTGTTATGACTGATGAGTATGTAATGTTTTCGAACTAAAAACCACTCAAAACTCGATAAGAAATTAAAATATTGTAAAAACACGACGAAAGAACACAAGCCAGCTTAAGAAAGAGATAACACGGGATAACATGCTCTTCGCTCTTAAAATGTATTATCGTATTATTTGTACCTTCGGGTCTTGGTGGTGGCGGACGAGGAGGTTCCGAATGGTCTTCAGCGCCACTTCTACTACGACCATGGTTGTACGTAGGTCCCAGATCACCGTTATGCAAATTGTTGGCTATAAAAGAAAACACCGCATTTTTATATTATATATAACATTATAAAAATACAACACAGAGCCTTATGAATTACAATTTTAAAAGGCAGCTATTGTAGCGTAAATTTACCTCTACAAATGTAGAATTAAATGTGAACGTATTAAAATGTTCTAACTACTTATAACTTAAATTTATTTGCCAAAATAGTAAACTTGAAAGTCTAAAACTTCGTTAAAGTATACGCACTCAAAAGTTTTTGGAATCTTAAATATGTGTATAGTATAAACTATTAACTAGTAATAGTCAATTAAACTAAATACACAGTTTATGAATTTAGATTTTCTCGTTAAAAGTGGTTGAGGGAAAGGGGATCTGTCAAATATATTGTGTTCTGTGAAGAAAAATTAAAGCCAATTTACGCTAAGGAACACAGCAAACGTAGCATATGGATTACTTTTTATACCAGACGTGTTGTTGTCCATGGCAGATGTGGGCCTGTCCAACTGGCTCAGGGAAACGGAATCCAACAGCGGGTTACGGGACCGTCCACGCGGCGCCAAATTGCTTTTGGCTTCTTCTAGCATGCTCCTGCTGGGTGGCTGTACGTACAAGTTTTGCGATGGATACGCCGAACCGTTGATACCGTCCATATAGTTGTTATTTTCTATATAATATACAAACAAAACGACAACGGTGTTAATAAAGAGCAGTTTTGATTTTTTTCTCAAATAGAGCAAAAATTGTAGTGAGAGAGACCTCACTTTTAAACGGCACAACCAAACGTTTCGTCTCATACCTTTCGTGTGCAGAGACGTCGGTTCGGACGAACCGGAATATTGTAAAACGTGTCCGTTGGCATTGCCTTCACGGCGCACGGTCAAACTCAGTTTGTCTTTGGCCGATTCTATCAGTCGCCTGGCTTCTTTAAGCGTCATGCCATCCACCACCGAATGATTGTTGATCTTCAACAGCACGTCGCCTTCCTGTACACTGTTGTCGCCCCCCTTTGTTCCTTCTTTGATGAAAATCCTGCTTCCCAAAACGATTCCAAAATCTAAAAGCGATAAAATATACAGAAATGTAAAAATATATTTAATATTACGAGTATATATTGCATATTTTATGTATCGATCAAATAAATCGCTTATATTCGCCCTCAATATATACGTGTTCACAGCATGAATTCGGAATAACTTACATCCCTCGTAGTAAATATAGTTATAGAATATAGGCTATGGCTATAGTACTTCTAAAAAATATTATAAAACGTTGATTCATATTATGTTATATTTTACAAGATTTTATTGGTTTGAAATTTGAATTTTCCATACACAATTTAACTCGAAAAATTATGATAGGTACCTATTAAACATTCTGATTTGACAATATTTTAAAATGTACGGCGTTTCCTTGTATAATTAAATTAGAAACTCATCGCTTTGACTTACAATATATTCGACTTATAAATTGACGGTACTGTTTAAGTTATCCAGCCTAGTATGTATATTGTATACGTCTAGTAATCCGAATAATTACCGTCTTTTTTCCTGGTCTTATTCAGATGAATACGCAGCGTGTGTGGCGTGTTTGAAGGCAACACCAGACGACGTCTCAGCGACAATGTCACGTTTTCGCCACATTCCCTCAGCACGGCAACTGCCGTACCGTATTCGACGTTGTCTAGTGACACGCCGTTGGCGGTCATTATTCTGTCGTTAACCCTGCGAGAGTAAAAGAAAAATCAATTTCCGTCAGATGCATGGACGTCTCAATATTATATCGTGGAAGGGGTGGGTCTACATTATAAGACTATTTTCGGTAATAATGTAAAAAGCCCTCACATGAGCTTTCCTTCTGCAGGACCGGACTTCAATACATCCGACACGGCTATTGACGGGTCACCGTTGGCGAAATGAGGATTGTCTCGGCCACCGCTGACCGCGATTCCGAACCCGTAACCGGGCACACGGTTCAGAGTGACTTGGTGGAATTCCCAAACGATGCGATCTCCATTCTGCAGCAAAAAAAAAAAAACTTTTTAACACCATTTTGCATCACAATATATATCCGTTGCGCAGGGGCAAAGAGTGATTGAGATTTGGGGGGGGGGGAGCTTAGCTTATTGTATTTTCACCTATGTCCTTGGTTTATGATACCTACGCAGTAAAAAATATAAATAAATAACAAATAACAACAATTAGTACATAAGAATCGCAATAATAATGTAATAATGTATGTGGTGTTCTAGGGGATGGATTGTGGTGTACGAGAAGAGGGAATTTGCTGCTAATGCGCTCTAAATATCTATTGTTTTTGAATTGTACGGAAATATTTGGTCGTCCCAATATTCTAAAAATATATAATATATTATAATAACGATTATTAATTTTGTCAAGCGTGAAATAGATACGAAAAGAGCACGTCATAAGTTTAAACTTATACTCCTGCATAGCATGGCTATATTAATAAGACCTCAGTGTTAATAATTCATATTATATATAATACATAATATGATTTGTACAAGAGTACATATACACATTAAACATACATTAAGCTTCAGAAGCAAACATAGTAAACTGTCCGATAATTAATTAACAATTATGTTCAACTAAAATAATAATAATAAAAACCTAACAATATTCAATTTAAAATGATATCCTTTTAACTGTAACAGTTCATATGAAAATTTGTAATATAAGTAGGTTGCTCTACCAAAACATTCTCGTTTGACTGAACATCCAATACGGACGCATTCTCAATTTATTGATATACAATATATATTATGACGTGACCTATTTAAAAAAAGATATTTAGCTCAAAACTTTCAATCGTTGTGATATAGATATCTACCTCCTATACCTACTTATAGAAAATCGTATACCTATAATAGCAATAATCTAGTTTATGCGAAGCGTTTTTACCCGAGTAAAAAAAAATCCAACAGGTATATATAATATATATATATATGTACTTATACAATAATGCCAAATCATTCAAACAAAAAAAATATTATAATTCAAAAATGTCAATCGTCTACCTGCAATAAGTACCTGGATATTACCTACAGTAATAAACTAATAACATAATAACCTACATTTCTACCGTATATTTAAATATAATATTATACATATTATTAGGTAGGTACACATATAATTATTATCAGAAAGAATATAAAATCTTATTTTTCCTTTTCAAATAAAAAAAAACGTATTCCGGTGAACATAAACTCGTAAAACGACCCGTTCGCGATGTTACATTACAAAAGTTAAATAAATACAACAAAAATACTTAATAATACCATAATCAATCAACGAACGTTTGAACGAGAACAAATATGGTTAAATCAATTTAATAATATACTTGACTTTTCCACTGAATATATGTTTACGCATACAAGGCCATTAAATTTTCTTGTGACAAAATGAGTGGCCATTATATGATAAGTTCTTGATATGTGATTTTAACCAATTTTGTTACACACAATTTTAAAGATATTGCAGTTCATAATAATACAAATTACTTTTGTAGATTGTTCGCAAGACCAAAACCACAAAAATTAAACACGTACAACACATGAAATAAATAAGTAATACAGAGTATAAGCATCGTCTTAACCATTGTCGGCTTTGTACACAAGTAATCCGATGGCCGAATCCACGCAATCACGAATTTTCCGAAGATTAATGAGAATTGTATTATTTTAATAACCCTGTGGATTGTCTACAATACACGGTGGTGTGATAAATCGTTTAAATTTAAATTAAAAAATATATAGGTAGTTAGGTACCTATATCATAAGTTAATCACTATCAAAGCAGTCAACTTACAAGAAGGGGTAGTCGAGAGCTGCCTCCCTCGCAAGAGTTTCCGCTCCCATGAGATTTTCCGTTAAAGTACTTATAATATACTGTTTTTTGAAAATATTTTCAGTAGCAGTCTCAAGATAGCAAAAACTACAATTATATCGTATTAATTAGTTATCATATAATATTATAATGTATATATTTTTAATGATAACTATTAAGACAGCTTCAACTGTAGTTACAGGTTTGTTCTGTGACAATATCTTCTTCTCATACGGTAGCTAACCGCAAATTAGTCCTAAAATCCTTCAAATGTGAAGAACGAATATTTCTCTTGTTGTGATGGAGAGAATATTTTTCCTAGTGTCTTCATAGCTTTAAAGTTATTTGTCAGTATGCCAGTAACAAGTACCTGTGAAATATCCTTCTGATAACTAATAATATTGTTAAAACAAAGTTGTGAAGTACTAGGGGTCAAGAAAGATTAGATGGACTCTTAAATATATTTATTGAACAGGGTCAAACATTAAGTGTTTACTATGGAGAAGTCTTAGAATTTTTTGAAATATTAAACCCTATCGTCAAACGACGCGTGGAACTTTAGTGAAATATATTATTTTAAAAGTTAGATATTTAAATTAGAAGACATTAAATTATACGTAATAATTATTATTAAAAATAGGTACTATTGAAAACTGTTGTGGTATTTGTATGTTTAGAGTTAAGACTAACCATATAGTCCGTATAAATCAATATAACCACTATGGTTTAATAGAACAACAATACAACCATGGGAGGATTGGAGTCCAGGCGACTGGGCCTTTTCAGCTGCAGTGTTGCCTCCCAGTCAAGAAGACCCGATGCAGAAGGATTGTAAATAAAATGAAATTTAAAAAATAAATAACCGGACACGAGTGTTTTCACACACTACAGTCTCACTTACATTTATACATGTCTCGAGTGGATATCGCCTGTAACAAGGGCGGCAGTCACTATATCATATTAACATATATATATATATTTAATATGGTGTAGGTTAATATATTAACATATACGGATCGAGAATGGGAAAAATTAAGTATAGATGGCAACCGACCACGTTAAAAAAACGAGTAGTTATAAACTCGCAATGGTAATAATTAAATGTACATAATATGAGAATGATGATGATTTATAAACCGTTCTGAACTTCTGGCACATATATAAAATGTATAAAATGATATCGAGTGTGCGTGTATGACTTGAGCACAGAAGTGGTTGGGTAAGAATAAAAACACAGTTTTTTGCCGTTCGTGGACATGTGTGTGTGTAATAATTATTATTATTGTTATTAGTTAGTTCGTCCATGACGATTAATCATTGAATGTAATAGTTGAGTACGAATGGCATGCACCGAACTGTTTAAAAAGTCAAAATATTATAATGATTGGATTATTATATAGTGTAATGAAAAATTGGTTGCGCCGGTCTTTTAATAACCGGAACATGCGATGATCTGGTTTTGTTAATATTATTATTTCTAAATACATATTACCGCAAATAACACACCTCGATCTAGTCGATGATCTCATACGCAAAACGACGGTTTAATTAATAAGGTAATGATTTATACTTCCACCGCTCACACATATTATACTATTATCATAATAATATCTCCATGTATGCGTATAAAATGTAATACATTTTATATGACATATTATAATATTTTAATAAAATATGCGCACTGCGTATGTCTCGATTTTCATTTCTACAACATCGATGATCACGGAGGTGTGTTTATTTTATACAAACAAGGTTTTGTGTTTTCATATTTAAATATTTAATCAAAAAATGCAATTAATGATGATATAAAAAATAATCAATCGTTATCACTTAATATTATAATACTTAGTCGGATGAAGACGACGCATATTCGAATAGGTCGATGAACCAATGTTTAATAGTATTAAAAGCTCGGCTAACAGAAATTAATTCGTAAAAAATTCTTTTTAAAGTTTAAACGAATTCGAATCGTTCTTAATGAGTGTATAGACTATAGACACTAAAACACATATTATATTATAGTCTTCGGTATAAACTATAAAATTTATCGACCGGCTCCACGAGACAGAATTAAAGAGAACTCGAGAATAGTATTGGCCCATGTAAAATATACAATTATGTTATATCAGACACGGGGTTTTGACCTTTGGCTCGGTCAAGATAAACGAAAACGAAATTCATCGCAGCGTTTTTAGACATAATAATCGACATGACACTGTTGTGAATTCATTTATTAATTAAAATAACACGTTGCTATGTCTAATGAGTCTCGACGAAAAACACGTTAAAATGGTGGAAACTATTAAATTTATAATTATTAATTACAAAGAGGGAGGACGACGGACAACATTTTTTTAAAGGTTTTGAAATGTTTGTGACTATTGTGTACTGCAGCAACGACATACGTAAACAAGTCGCGCAGGGTAGACAATAATAATAATAATAATAATAATACAAATTGAAAACACGTTTGTGGCTTGTTTTAATTTTATGTGTGTGGTGGCAAGTTTTGAGGTCAAATAATGACAAAAAGCACTTCGGCGAATGAGAGAAAAATTATGATATAAACAACAACACGTGCGTAAAGAAGATTTAAATTATTACGCGATAAGCAAATTAATTAAGTATAACTTCAAACGTCTTTACTTTCTAAGCGACCTGCGGATGCTGAAAACTGGTTGTACATAATATTTTTACATATCAGCAATAATTTCGTCTGGGGCAAAAGTCCAGAATCCGGTCTTGATAATAATAATAATAATATTATTATTATAGTATTATAAGTTATAATATTATACTGAATTCTTCCCCGTTCAGTTTTCTTATTTTATTAAACACTTAATCCAGTTAAGGTTTTCGAAAAAATTATACAGTAGATATATAATATCACAATATCATCATCACATACAATGACATACTCACAAATACAACGTAAAAAGACTATATGTAATAAAGTATTTGCACACGACTTTTGTCTGCAACGACAAGTATGCTCAAATATCCGTGGTTTTACTAAGGTATGTATAACGTGCGGTAAATTAAAATTCGCGGGATATAAAAACCCATACATAATACTTATTTAAATATACCTATATAAAATAAGTAGTTTTGTATAGGATATTGTAGGCACGACCAGTCTGGTTGAATTTTTTTTAGAGAAACCATCGTA